AATCCAACCCCCCCCCCCCCCCCCAAAAGACTAGTGCATGTAAATATGTCTGGATACCCCTCTCCTCTGTTAATCTATCTACAAGCTGGACGGCACTCTTTACCTCGCCTTGCTCACAGTATGCATAAATTACTGTGTTATATGTGATGGCATCAGGCTTGGTACCCCCAACCAGCATTTTCCCTGCAAAGCATCTTTAAGCATTCCAGCATGACAAAATCCAGAAAAAATGGTATTATAAGTCACTAAATTCAACTCGATCTCCATTTCTTCTATCTCTCCAACTATCCGAAGAGCTTCTTCTATTCTGTTTGCATTGAAAAGACCATCCAAAAGTTCATTATATTTTGTGACATTAGGTGAACACCCATATTTCCCCATTTGATCGAGCACTTTCATTGCCCACTCCACTTTTCCACTGCAACATAAACCTTTGATAAATGTATTGGATGTAATTGTATTTGGAGGGCAATTTTCATTCGCTATATTCTCTATAAGATGATGAGCAAGACTGAACATTAAATTCCTGCAGAGCACATCCACCATACAACAACATCAGGAAGGCAACCTTTGAAGGAATTAGAATTGGCTATTGACTTGAAGTAATCTAAAGCTAATAGAATACTGGTTCTTTCTTTAACTTGTTGAAAACATCAGATTCTTTGAGAAAGTTTTTATCTTTTTGTTCATAAGTGGGCTTTTTGTATATTAGCTTTTTGTACACAAGGGATCGAAGGTTTTTTCTTTTTTAATAATAAAGAGCATCCTGCTTTCAAATACATAGTAGAAACTTGTCTTAAAAAGAAGTTAACAAATCAAGAAGAGAAGTCAGATTATCGATTAAAATCAAGAAAATCTCAAAAACCCATTAAAAATCTTGGACGAGAAAAGCATACCTGGACGAGAGAGGGTTGTTATTAGCCAGAGAAGCATTTGCTGCTCTGCTTGTATCAAGTGGTTCTTAAATTGCTGAAAGCGGCGTCGTTTAGTGAAATAATACTGGAGGGACTGGAAGTTCAACCTTCATAGTATTGGGAAATATTTGAAAATATGGAATGTTTGAAGGATGTAAGTGAATATTGACAAAGCGAAATACACTCGGCTTTGATGATTTTAAAGAGGCAACAAATCGAAGACAAAGAAGAGTTTACTGAAGTAACAGTGCGAGAACAGGTTTGAAGTCTCTCTCGCTCTCTTTTTATTATTTGAGTTTGTTATATATATATATATTTCAGTTCACGGATCTATCAATAATGATAAATTCTTTATTCATGTACGCTTAGTTTTAAATTCGTTCTGTTTTCAGCGAATTCTTCGGTTTCGATTTTCAACAAAGTTTAATGCTGTTTGGTTTTATAAACAACCCAATTCGTTTTTTTTTTTGTGATGTACAAAGTTCTTTTTTTAATTAAACTCGAGGGATCTCTTGATTATCTAAGGACCCTTTCTCGTTTTTAGTGAAGAATTCAGAATGTGTAATTAATGCTAATTCCAAATATGAGGTTCTTCTCATTATGGTTGCTTTTCTGTTTTCAGATTTATAAGATTATCTAAAGGTAGAAGCTATGGCGGGGCATAACGAGTCTGAGAAAAAGTCAAGCGATGCTGTGAATGATTTGCAAACATTCAGAGCGGAAAATTTGCAAAGTAACATGAAAGTTATATATTACAGGTTTGTTTCAATAAATTAAGATTTATGGAGCCATTATCAAGTATTTAATGCAAAAGTTTTGTGTGTGAACATGCCCCTAAAGGTTTCAGCTCAAGTTAGAAATTAGGTTTTATGATTATTTGGGAGAATTCTGGCCATGTGTATGATTTGCGGTTGATGTATTATGTGTGAATTACAGCAAAACCAGTTTATTCTGGTTCAAAGAACCGAGTAGAAAGTAGAGTTGATGTTTCCTAAAGAAAAATGCTTAATCGTAACAAATTCATTAAGGAACATGATGGCATAACAACAGTTGAATAAGGAAGAATGAGGAAGGTGTGTTTCAGGATTAATTTGGGCAAGGTTTAACCGGTTATTTGGGACCCTGGTGAGATTTAGAGGTTGAGAAATAGCTGAAAGTTGAAATCTTCGTGGGAAAATCACAGAGCAGTAATTTATTACAAGATATAAACTGTAGCTTGGAGTCTGCTGCGTGTTTATGACAGCATCTAAGCCTTAAATTTTTCCTGTACAGCCGAACATTTTTGTCTATCATTGGTGGGGTAATTGCTGGAATCTTGGGATTCACTGGCTTGACTGGATTCGTCTTTTATTTCCTTGTGATGGCTATCACTTCAGTTGCTCTCATAGCCAAGGCAAAGTTTTCCATCCATACATACTTTGACTCCTGGAACCGAGTTGTATTTGATGGCTTTTTGGGTGGGCTTTTGGTATGTTTCTCTGGTATCTATCAATACATTTTTCCTATCATTTCTGATTTCACTTTACCCAAGATTCTACTCTTTCATAGCATTCCTTTTCTCTTGCTTGCAACTAGAACACTTTGAGAAGTAAATATCTGCTTTTCTTTGTTTACCCTCATTCATATATGAGATAACAGGTAGATTGACTGTGTTTTTATGTTTTATGCAGTCGTTCGTGTTGTTCTGGACGTATCCTTTGCATTATTTAAGATATCTTTCGGTTAATATACTTAAAAAATATAATTGCAGTGATAAGTTGTGTTAGTCATCTTATCAAATAAAGGATTATATTATTTTTCCTCAACATAAGCATCATCAGGGACTTTTCATTTCCCCTGAGCTAATTGATTAAGGACCTGTTTCTCCTTCTTGTTTTGTGTTGTTATGCTGCTTTGGCTGCTGTGCTGTGTCGTACTTGAAACGCTGCAAAACAAAACATATCAAAGTAATTGTTATGGAACTGCCATGTTGTTATGTGAATAAACTTGTGCTCTTTGAATTCTAATAACTATAAAGACATTAAATTATTTCAAGACTTTCAGTAGCTAAATTAGCTAATAAAAATTTAAATTATATTTTGATATTAAACTGGTGTAATTTTTTGTGTGCTTGTAAACCTAAAAGCTCCATTGAAAAACTTGTGCACAAATTTCAAGTCATGAATAGTATACAACAAGGTAGATTGTTCAAAATTATTTATATGTGCATAAAAAATAAATACAGGTTACTTCGGATGATCATTATAATATTTATATGCGTGGATGCATTATGGAGAATGTGAAAGAATGGTGTTGAAAATATTGCAATAAATGTGAAGGTAAATATGCACTATTGGTAATTTTGTTATCCTGAAAAAAAAATTGAAGTTATTTTTTTCTTTTTCAAAAACAAATAATTTGCATTTTATCTTAAAAGCATGCCCCCATCTGTCTTATAAATGGAGTCACCTCACTCTCCATCCATAAAGTTAAATTCCTTGCTAAACACGTAGTGGTACTCGGGGGGTTAAGTAGGCTCCAGACTTGCTTTGGTTGATGATATTGGACTGTATATGGGTTGCATGCGGGTAGAGGAGGGTGTGTCTATATATATATTATATATATATATATTCTTCTTAAATAACTGGTCAAATTCTTCTATTTGTTGATTTCAGTGGCAGAACTAGGGTGCTTCTAGACACTGATACCAGAAAGCATCTGGTTTCAAAGAATCAGGCATAAAAAGATTTGCTTTATCTGCCTTTTTACTATGGTGCTTTTCTGCTTTTCTTGACATGAGTAGATTTGCTTATGACATCGTACATATATTCTGATGAAGAGACAAGGTAGCTGCTCTGTCTTGAACGGAAAGGAAGCTCCACTGCTGCTGCTGCTGCGCATTTACAACACCTTTGAGTTCGAATATGGCTTTAATGCGTTGTATCCATTACAAACAATCACAAAGATTATTTGTCTGGTGTTGTCTTTGTTTAAATTGTGTTTTGGTTAAACAAAGCCTTTAGTTCAGGCTTGACTACACTTGGGAGACCTTTGCTCATTCAATTTTGTATGAATGCTGCTCTATCTTTGCTGGTTGAATCCCATGACAACAATCTTCTATCTTAGTATGCATTTTAAGCTCGCAGTGTGACTCTTTTATTCTCATGTGAAAATTCGCTGGGAAGCGTGCCTTGCTTTTCATGGATGGGAAATGCCGTAATAATAGATCTCGAGGCTATGTTTACATGAAAATCAAACAATTCGTGAGGTAACTGGGGTCCTAAGCTCAATCCGTGCCGATAGTGAGAGCGTGCAATATATAAAAGAATTCCGCAGAAGGTTCGCTCATCTCATTTGACAATCTTTCACTTCGATGGGTACCCCATGCTGATTAGAGCTGAATAAAGCTTTCGGAAATAGAAGAGGCAAAACTGAGAAAAATATTTAGCGGTTTTCTATTTTATTTAGAAATATATTAAAATAACTTTTTTTTTATTTTGAATATTAATATATTAAAACTATTTTAAAATATTTAAAAAAAAATAAAAAAAATTATTTTTTTGACAAACAGTATTTTAACTGCAAACTGCAATAACACTATTAAAATGCGTTTAACTCACCAGAAGGGACACATAAAAATAAAAACAAGTTTAATGAAGACAAAAATAAACAACGTTAGTGGAACAAGTTTAAAATAAATAAATCCCCACCATCCCACCCATTTTCATCTCTTTTATCACAAGAAAACAACCACCGCTATCTTAGAGCTTAGCAAAACACATCCTATTATTTAGAGCAACCTTAAAATGAGCATCAGGATTCATTAAACCATAGTTTCTTGATGATATCTAGCTCAAATATCATAATCCCACATGCTAATGTAGTGAGATGTTAAGCCAATAAAAGTTCAGTGCAATATGCTTTAAACACTACTCAATACAATGTCAAACTCATGGAAGCGCAGGGAATTGCTTTGATCGGTGAATTTTACATTGCTGCAGTAATTGCTTTACTATTGCTGTGAAAAAATTAATCAAAACAAAAATAACACCTCTGCTGAAGGTCATGTCTTTCACGACCTTCCTATACAATAAAGTAACGAGACCTAAGACCACTGATACTGATCCTTCCATCGTTTCTCCCCGGTGACAAATTGAAATGAATCCATTTCATCGTTCATTTTCTTTCAGAGGCAAAATCTAGTTGTGGAACTATATTCTTCCCGCATGCTCATGGAAAACAGATAGCAATCTTGCAGTTTCCTCTCAAATCTGTAAATTCAAAGAGTATCAGCCACTTGAACATTCAGATGACAAGCTGCACAATAAATTATAATTGTTCTATAGCTGCAATAATGTTCAAGTAGTATTCCATGGGAGGCACACAAGCAGCAGCCAATGGATGTGTATTTCCACCATTTTACCATTGGAGGCACATCAAAAACTCTCATTATCTTTTGCTGGAAGTGCTCTTCAGTGCTGGAAAGCACAAGAATCGTATTTACTTGTGTCGAAGCAACTCAATACTCGTCAAGAATTTATAAAGGTAACACTTACCAGCATCTGAGGGACCTTTAAGAATACAAATGACAGTGAATATAGAACAATTGAAACTGCAACTGCTGTGATGATGTTGTTTGTCAGGCGCTTATCATCTTTACTGGGTACAAATGCTGTTTTCAACGTATTTGTCAGATCAAAGAGCCTGTAAGAAACCTACAAGCAAAAAATTTGACAGTTCTTGAGTGCTTGAATTGTACCAATTATCTTTTGAGATTTTAAAATAGTAAGATTGATGCTTACCGCAACATATATGGAGGTGGTAAGCATAAAGTTCAACATTGGGTAGTCTGGAATTAGAGAAAGTAATAATTTTGGTTGGCCATCTGGAATTCCTGATCTGCAAGTTTATAAAAACCACTATGAGGAAACCAGTGTGAGCATCCACAAAATCACCAGCATAACAATATCATACCTTAACCAGATATGGATCTGAGAAATGTAGGTCTCCAGTGTGATTTTCCCCAGCCATCTAGAAAACAAAGTAATAAAATCACTAAAAGTTCTACAACAATAGATCCAGACTCATAGGAAAAGGAGTTCCCTAAGGTTTCCTCCTATCAGTGCCTCCAGCAAATGATTTAACTTCAATTCAAGGGAGGAGAAAATCAGCAAATACATGAATCAACTTATAGGTCACTTACGCGAACAGGGTCAAGCTGTAGCAGCGGAAGTGCTGGGTGACATTTCTCAAACAAATGTACACACTGATCAACCAGAAAACAATAATAATAATAAGCAAAATTTCTGAAAAGTTACTACAAGCACATTTAAGGGGGCAATGCGTACGTTATGGGAATCCATGAGGTATAAGGATGGTATTTGTTGTAAGTAACCTTGTCCAGCTTGTATATGTGCTCGTACCACATATATCCCACCTAGAAAATTCACAAAATCTGTTATAGACATCATCACCACAGCCATCATAACCAACAGCAACAACAGTCAACAAGGCTATAATACCGCCAGAGATATTGTTGCAACAGCTGTTTTAATTGATATTCTGCACTTTGCTTCTGTCTCCTCTAGTTTCTCCATCCATCCTTCCACCTAAAATAACAAACACTAATTATTTGGCCACTGACTCAAAGACTCCCAAATCCATTTCCACCACAACATTAAAGAACCACAAGCACATACAAAAGTTCCATGAGTGATGTGGTGTCTTACCATTGGATGATAGTAGGCATATATCATTCCAACTATCCAGATATAACGATCAAGGCCAGAACGGAAATGCCACTCGTGCAAGCGGGGCAAATCTGGTTTCGCAGGATCAGTATAACCTGCAGTACTTTGAGGCATTAGGATCCCCAACCCCCGCCCAATGCTTTAACAATAGAAATGAACATTTGGCAAGATACCAACCAAAAAGGAAAGTAAATGGGCTCCAAATCACTTCAAATACTCCAGGAATTTCCCACATGAGAATAACTACAAAGAAGCAGGCAATAATTTTCGCAGCCATGACTGATCCAATCTCATTGTACTTGTTGAAAATACCAAGTGCCGCATAAACCATAAGAGTGAAAAGAGTGTGCATGGGGCAAATATAGTATAGCATGTAACTATTGTTCAGTACAACGCAGCAGAATAGCACCAGGAAATTAAGCCGCCACATCATCTGCTCAGAAAAAAAACAAAGGAAACTTAGAACTGGAAGAACATTAATATGCAGAGAGCTAGGGTGAACTATGTTTAAACTTTAGGGTGAAAAGATACCTGTGCAAACCTAGCAAGACTGAAATCTTTGCGAACATAATAATACGAGAAGTTGCCAAATCCAGTCATCCACACATATGAAGCAATAAAAACACGGATTGCATTGTAAAATTCGGTTGCAGCAAAGTAATGGTACATTAAAAATAATACCTGCAAGACACCAGAAAAATGGGTAAGACCATACATTATGGCATGCACAGAAAGCACATATGAATAAACCCAGCCAAAATATAAAAGAAACATCTCAGAACTTCAACATACATTGGTGTTAAAAAAACACATGACATGTAAAAGAAGGAAAGATGATCTCTAAATGGTTGAAGAATGCTTCAACAGATGACTTTGCCAATACTGTTCAACAATTTAAGTCAGGCATAGGATGTCAAAGCCAAATAACCACGAATATTTACAGAGTATCGGTTGCCAAATCTTGTACACATTAAGAAAACTCAATGAACATTTTGAAAACATATAGTCATGCTGTCTGAAAGAATGCCAAACCTGCATCCAGCCTTTCCACTCCTCAGTTTGATGCCTATTCAAATAAAGTATAGGTTTCCCAGAGAATGGTGACTTGTCATGATGTATCTTGAAAGAAGTTATTGCCGAAACTATGATGAGGAGGAAGTAGAGAAACAAGAAAAGATCTCGATTGTAACTCTGCAGAGACAGATATTAGCAAAGTTAAAACATAATCACTAGCAGTAAAATAAAAATACCAAATTTTACAAATTTTAATCCTGACAAGCACATAACCCATCTACACTGTGAGTCAGCTGTTTGATGTTTTTATGTTGCAAAAATGATTTTTTGTAAATGATAGCATAGTGTTGCTATTGTTGACCACATGCTTTGCTGAAAACTTACAGACCCCGAAATAAAGATTGCATGACACAAAGGAGTGGCACCTTCTTAGATGAGCCAAGAATATCAGTGCGGTCGCATATGTAAAAATACATCATAAAGAAACCAAATTCCGATCTGCAAAGAAGAAAGAACTAGTATTTAAATTTGCTAAGATGCGAGAAACTAAATGTTTTTCCTTAATCTAGATTCAACAAACAAATTACTAACATGGCTCTAAGCGTCAAGCGATTATCAATCAAGAACTGCTCTTCCATTGTAAAGAACCTGAATATAGTAAAAACAAGAGCAGTAATTTAATTTAAGCATGAAAAACGAAAGAAAAAAAAAAGTTTAACAGCAACTGAGGATTTTCAAAAAGGCAATACCTGAAAATAGGAAATGTGGAAGTTGAACTCCTAGCTTTGGGAGAAGCAGACTGAACTCCTCCCTCTAGTAAAACAGCTCTATCATCTTCTTTAACCGCTTCGTTCCCCAATTCAACCAATCCAACATCAGAATGCCTACTAGCAAACCAACATCCCAAATTAAGAAAAAAAATTAACTTAACTTGAATTTAACTTTCGTAGTAGCAACCGTTAACTTACGCTTTGGCTAAGGTGTTGTTTTTTGTGTACTCCAAATACTCGGTGTAGATCCAAGCAGCAAATACAGGTAAGATCCCAAGCAAGAAAGAAAACTGCACCAAAATTTAACAAACATCGTTCCTAGTAATTATACAATCAAAATTACCGGCTAAATCAAGCATCGTACCGAGATCCAAGAGAAATGAGCTCAGAGAACCACTCACCTGGCCGGGAGTAACAGGAGATAACATCTGCATTTTTTGGATTCTGGGTTAAGTAAGTTCAATTCAAGCACGACTGACTTCAGCAAAATGAATGATATGCATGTTAACGCGATGCCAGATCTGGTAGTTTACGTATTAAACGGAACCCTAAATTTGCTCCAAAATCTAGCTCTGTCTGTCCCTCTGTGTTGTTGTAATATGTGATTTGCTGCAGATGATTTGCTGGTGTGAAAATGGGAGAGACGGTAAAAGGAAGCGTGTAGAGAGACGAAGCACCAGCGGTTACTTGAGAGAAATGTGTTTTTTATGAAACCGCAATGGAGGCTACCTTCTTATTTTTAACTTGTGAACACCTTTTCCGATTTAGTGAGATTTTTAAAAACATTTTTTACCTAAAAATAATATTTTTTATTATTTTAATTTTATTTGTAATATTAATATGTTAAAATAATTTATAAACATTATTTAAAATAAAAAAAATTGTTTTTTATATAAGACAGGTTAAATCACAGCCGATACAAGCACTTCTTTGTGGATTTTTAAGGGATAGATGTGAAGAATGCTGTGTTGTTTATTAGTTGATAATAATATATATGAGTAATTAATATGTTGATTAGATTTGCAGGCTTACTGGCATTGACGCGTCAACCCAGTGCTCTTTTGGTCCACCAATTCCTTCCTCTTCTTTTTCCCCCGTCAACATTGCAAACATTTCTTATACTAATATCTTTCTTTTTTTTAATTTTATTTTATTTTAGGGGTAAACTATTATTTGAACTTGAATAGTATTTTAAGAGCTTGTGAATGGACAGACCCAATCCAGATGGGCTTTCTATGTACTCTAATAAGTGTTTGATATTATAGTGCAATATATTTTTTTAAATATATTTAAAAAATATTAATTTTTTTTATTTTTAATATTTAATATAAAACCATAAAAAATATTAAAAATTTAAGTTAAATATTTTTTAATAAAATATACTTTCAAAACCGACAAATAAACAAAACTACAGCACTCCTCGACACTAATAGTGAAGTTTGAAAATCTTAAACGATTAGAATATCGTAATACGGAAGTGAACTGGACAGTGAAG